GCAGGGATGCATCTAAAATCTGTAGGACAGTAGATCTTGAGGACCAGGGTTGGAGACCACTGTTGTAAGCCATTCTTTTTGCCAGATAGCTCCAGCCCAATCGGACTGGGTCAAGGTCGACTGTAAACAATGATTATCAAGCTTTGGCCAAGATCGTTAGCTTTACATCTAGTTTTGTATTTGTGGTGGAGGTTAAGTCCTCTTCTCTTGTCTATTTATTTATTTTTGTATATCAAACCAGTCTTCTTCCTGTACTGCTTTGTATTCACTATTTATCAATCTTTTATCAGTCAATCAATCTTATGATGACGGAAGAGATCCCCCCATGCCACCTGAAGAAAAGCCTCCCAACATCATAATGCTGCCACTACCCTGTTCCACAGTGTGGCTGGAGTGATTTTAATGATCTGTTCGATTTTAAAACAATAATACCTTAGCCAACACTTTTACTTTTTTCCTTTCCTTCAAAAAATAATTTGTGGATTTTACATACTGGTCATGTTGAAAGATTTTTATACATGAGGCTTGGATTTCTGCAGCTGCCCCTAATATACCATTGGCCTATTTTGATTGTCTTATCTCTGTTTTTAGTCTTTTCAATGGTAAAAATAAAAACAAATCAACCATGGAAATCCAAAAGTATTAGTCATCCTTAATCTAACTATATGGGGAATTTGAAGGTCAGCTTAGTAAAATAGAAGGAGCAGAGAAGTCTTAAACTTCCCTAACTCAGATGCTGCTTCATGGGCTCACCTCTCCTGATTTCCCAGATCCTGCAGGAGTGTGTCAGCATATTTCTGCCTCTCACTAGGCTCCACATTGGACAGTTTCTTCACCTCGCTGCGTACAAAGTACCAGAACTCCTTGACGCCATTCTCAACCTTCCTGCGCAGCTCCTCCTGAGTTGGGCCAGGGCCTATAAGAAAGGAGGCATCAGAGAATAATAGAGTATTAAAACACTTTCAAGAGGTAGGTAAGATCTAAGGCAATGAAATAATAATGCAGACTCAAAGGAAGACACCCTGAAGAAATTAAATGTGTTTTTTTGAAGGGATTCTGAATATTGTGCATAAATAGCCTCTCGCTATAAAACGTTCAGTTGGATTCATACATTTTTTCTTCTTTTGAACTCTGTCCTAGGGAGTTACTTTGACCTCATTAGAAAACACTTGATCACTGCTTTTGTGCATCATTTCTCTCATGTTTTTTCACACACAGAAATGTTATACCCCTTTCGAACCCAAACAATGTGGAGCATCCAAGGCGAACACACCGCACAAGCCTGTTCTGGTTTCTGTTGAGAGAAACAGAATAGAAGAGAACAGAGCGAAGAGAAGAACAGCCTCAAGCAGGAGGAGTCGGAGGTGGTGGTGCTGATGATGACTGTGAAGCATTTTCTTTTTTTTTTTTTACTTCCTATCTCAGATACTCTCTTCACTTTTGCCACTTGCCTGTGGAAAAAAGCTTTAGGGTATTTTTAGCTTTCTTTCCCCCCGTGCAGCAAGATGGAAAAGCTGACCCTCCACTGCCCTCTATGCTCACATGTCCTTTTTTATTTTCTCCCAGCCTCTTTTCTTCTCTCTCAGTCTCTCATTTCAGCAGCGGTGGGATTCAGAATGCTCCCACTTCATTCACACATTTTCCCCATTCACCTGACAGCTTTCCTGCCCCTTTGACCACTGCTTAGAGTAGCAAGCACACACATAATACCCTGCCCCATTGAGAATGTTGCTTGGCTATCATCATCACCAGGTTGCATCAGGTTTAACGCTGGCCTGGACTGACATCACCCCTGCAGGCAAAATAGCTCACACAAGCTGCTGATTGGATGGATGGATGGATGGATGGATGGATGGATGGATGGATGGATGGATGGATGGATGGATGGATGGATGGATGGANGGTGGTTGAATGGATGGATGGATGGATGGATGGATGGATGGATGGATGGATGGATGGATGGATGGATGGATGGATGGATGGGTGGGTGGATGGATGGATGGATGGATGGATGGATGGATGGATGGATGGATGGATGGATGGATGGATGGGTGGGCGTTTGGGTTGATGGATGGATAGATGGGTAAAAAAATCGATGCCATCTGATAAAGGAATAATCTGAAATAAATAGCATTCCATTCCCCATTGTGTTTCATCTTATCAAATATTCATATCTAGTTGCTTATTCTAAAGGACCCTGCTAATTACCATCTCCAGTGAGTTTCTGAAAGCTGTGAATCTTCTGTTTGGCTCTGGTTAGCTGGTCCTCCAAGGAGCGGAGCCTTCCTGCTGCCAATGACCCAGCTTCTGCCTGACCCTCTGGTATCCTAGAAGGCATAAAAAGACATTGGATGGATTGGTTAACTAATAGCAGGAAAATGGCACAGAAATAGGTCAAAGAGCAAAAAAACCTTGAATATGATACCATACAGTGATGGAAAAACAAAATAAAATGTTTATATGACTTCTCAGTTATTCCCAAGGAAACTGGAGAATTTCTACAAGGCATCCACTCGCAGACTATTTTAGTCAAAAAACTTTCTTCTAATTGTCAGTTGTGACTCAGGAGGTTGGCGAAGCGGTAACAATATCCTGTGGTTCCTCTGATTCCAGCCGTCTCTTGCTTGGGTGACTCTGGTCTCATCTTTCAATTTAAAAGTTGCTGAGGAAACTTAGCTGAGGAGGCGTGCATCTCACAGTGCTCACCACCGAAACTTCTACAAATGTAATTTGCTAAAATGCCAGAGTGTGGACCCCAGAGTTGTGCCATGGTGTATTAATTTTGAGCACAAGTTTGTGCTTGGAATACAAACCAAATACATCTACGTTGTTGGATTCAAACTATAATCATCTTCAAAATTTCTACAAGAGGTGTCCTGAGCATTGCGGAATATCCTGTGAACTGAATGGCAAATTACAGGGAAATGCTATGATTTGGTAAAATAAGAGGGAAATATAAAAGGCAGTTATAAATCAAGAGTAACATTTGGTTTGGACTTGAATGCCAAATAAGCACTTGATTTTTACTGATTTTACTTAAAATATATTTAAAATGACTAAGACATGGCTTGATGGGCAGACTGACATCTTAGTAGCTCCAATGCATCTATAAGCCTGTGGCCTATTTTCCTGAATGGACTGTTCTGTGAATGTCACGTCAAGAGCGTCCATGTTAAATGGGTGCAACCCAAATAATCCAAGAGTTGTATTCAAGATGGATTTTGTGAATACTTAGAAGCGACTGGCATCCAGCTAAACTCAGACAACAACTATAACTCCACGTAAGGTAAAGTACAAGTGCGAGCTAGGAGAATGAGCAGAAGAGTTCCGCAGTTCTGCATTTTGGTCACAGATATCATTAGAAAACTCCAAAATGCCTTATTAAAAAAAAATATATATATGAAATGCATTACAAAAGACTTGAAATTGATTTGCATGTCACTGAAAAGAACGTCACAGTACCCCAAAAACTTCTCCCACTCTAATCCTAATACACAAAACTACATTTAGCATAGGGCTGCAACTAACGATTAATTTGCAAATCGATTCATTTTTTAAAATTATTTATTAGATTAATCGATTAATAATTGGATAGCCAAAGGTTCCTTAAGGAGGAATTTTTATGAAACTAAAACTTTTCCAATTGAGGAGTTCTGGATAGAGTATACTGAAAGATGAAAAAGTTTCTTTATCTTGAATACAAAATGTTTACATATTTTGGTATAATTACTTCTCTAAGTGGGTTGCTCTGTCAGATAAAGCACATTTCAGAGTCTCTATACTCCAGTTAACGATTAATCGATTACTAAATTATTTGACGATTATTTCAATAATGGATTAATCACAATTAATCTGATTGTTTCAGAACTAATTTAGCAGATGTGTGCCAATTGTTCAACAGATGTTCTTCTGTCTAACAAATGGTGATGAGTGATTATGTTCTCGAAGACGAAGTTCAGGCTGGGTTGAACAATATACACATGTATGGACTTACTTACAAATCTATATACAAATGTCATAAAATTAAGGAACTACTTGCAACACTGCATTACAACACTGCACTACATTACAACTGAAAAAATCTTTGTTAAATAAAATAGTACAAGATGTTTCATGATAAGATAAGACCTAGTCATACCAAGAGACCAACAGCATTTTGGCTGGTCCTTTGTCATTAAATGGTAAAATGGTAAATGGCATGTACTTATATAGCGCCTTTATTCAAGTTAGGAGACTTGACCAAAGCGCTTTACACTACATCCATTCACCCATTCACACACACACTCACACACTGATAGTGGCAAGCTACATTGTAGCCACAGCTGCCCTGGGGCTTACTGACAGAAGCGGGGCTGCTGTACACTGGCGCCACCGGGCCCTCTGACCAACATCAGTAGACAATGCAGGTGAAGTTTCTTGCCCAAGGACACAACGACAATGAAAGTCGGAGCAGGGGCTTGAACCGTCAATCCTTCGATTTCAGGGCAAACTCCTACATCCAACGCCACTGTCGCCCCATTCTTATAAAAACTAAGAAAAATAGAAGAAATTGTTTTGTCACAGATGCCATGAGAGAAAAAAAAAGAAACAGTGATCCAATTCTCTTAGAATGGTGACTGGATTAAACTCCAGTTATTTCACTGAGACATCTGGGATTCAAAAAAATAAAAACAAAACGAAAAAAAAGAACACAAAAAAAAAAAAAAAACTCACCAACTTAACCAAATGTACAAATGTGAAAAACACTTTTTCATTACTGCCTGAAAGCTTGTTTAGACAGACATTCAGTTCAATTAACCAAATGTACAGTAACAAACCATTTTGATTTGCATATTTTTTAAACTTGTCTTCAAAACTGTTGCATATTTTAAGTGTTTAGTGAATTATCTCTCTGATAAATGCAAATTCAAATTAGCATTTTTACAGCTCCATCAGTTAAGCGTGAAGAACTACCACACACACCAACTGAAAACACAAATGAGCACTTTGACATGCTTGGAGCATCAAGTTAATGTCAGTCAAGGGGGAGAAAAGTGTCACCAACATGGTATTAAAATGGCTGTTTATTTCAGCATTGTATGTACAAATACCCCTGTGCATTTGACATAATGAATCATCAAGGCATGCAAATTCAATTTGCTCCTTCAGTAAAGAACATCAGTCGCCTGCAGGCACAGAGATGAGACTTTAAAGTAGCGGTGGCCCCTCTTGTCAAAAAACTCTCCTAACTGGTTCTACTACCTGAGCATTCTACTTCAAAGCATCTAAAGGTAAAATGTTAAAAAAAAATGTTTAACAAATACGTCATATAAACTAGCACTGGAAAATATTCAGCTTTACTTTCCAGGAATATTACAGACAATTACTGAAATAAAATCCTGTGACATTTTCTCTGCTCTATTATCTTTTTTATCTTGTTGAGCTACTTTTTCTCCTCAGGCCACACCTTAACATGCTGGTTACACCACAGTACAAAAAGGAAGTCTCGGGTTTTAAGTGCTGCTAAAATGTTGACGTAAAACAACTTGATATCATCTTTAACAAGGCAAGAGAAATAGGCCATACCAGCAACACTTGAAAAACGATCTAGAAATAAGTCAAAAATTTGTTCAATTAAGTGTATTTGCCCTTAATTTGAGTATGTAAATGAGATAGTTTGCCAATGGAATGAGTATTTTTATTCTTAAAATAAGAAAATTGGATAAAATGCACTTGAAATAAGACAATACAATGGTGTTTTCTTATTTTAAGTGTAAATTGTCATGTTCCATTGACAAAATGTCTCTTTTATCTCCTCAGTCCAAGAACAAATGCACTTATTTTAAGAATAAATGACTTATCTAGCTTTAGATTTTTTCCAGTGAAAGGCTAATTAGTGAGATCATATTTATAAGTTATCTAGAATACAAATTGCCAGTGGACTTGTTATATAGCATCAGTCTTTGAAAAGTCATTCAGAACAAGGTAAGTCGATATATAACATATCAAAATACTGAGCAGAATTATGACTAACGGATAAACATACGTCATAAAAGGAGAAATCAGACAAGGCAGCTGTAATCAACACCATCTGCATACAATAACACAGAAAAGGTAGGAGATGAAAAGAAAACTTGAAGAAAGGAGAAGCAAAACACAAATATGTGCAGCAATGAGGAAAAGAAGACGAGTCCTGGAGACGGGGAGAGCACGTAAGGTTCAAATATTTCATCTTAGCTTAGCTGCTGAAACCACTGGCTCCCACCTCTACCCCCTGAGTTCACAGATTTCACAAGGTGATCAGAGCCTGAGGACAAAGTTTGAACAGTGGGGGCCCGAGCGGCAAAGCTGCACCTATATTCCTCTCGAAAGACTTAATACACTTCGGCTGACTTCAAAAGAAAACTTATGTGCTGACCTAAAAAGTCATACATATGTATGGAGATGTAAAGCATTCTCTAAGGTTTAGATGAAAGGAGGGTACATGGACACCCCTTGCCTTTATACAGAGAACCAACTAGCCTGTGTTTAAACAGATATATCCGTGCCTGAGTGCATTGTGATGTTCTTTGCATGTTAACTGTTGATGGAATTTCTCAGGGCTTCCTTTGGTCTCCCCACAAACCAATATACATCTAATTTGATGCGGTGTGGCTCTGCACATCCCATATTTAAATGTACATGTGAATAGCGAGGTGTTTTGCATTTGAACTGTAGTTTGGAAAACTAACTATTCCCCTTGATCTCCTAACACTGACATATGTGCAATAAGTATGTGTGTATTTGCATAGCGTATATTTAAACGGATGTAATAGTAAACCATTAAAATTCTATGTATATTCCATGTGTGTTGCTCTTCCGAAAAGGTCACAAATTCTCTTAGGTAATGAGCACTCAATTTACAAAGAATTTAAATGTGTAATCTTGTCTACATCTGTGACTTATGTCAAGAGTAAAGCATTGAATATTGATCTCTAAGCACCAGGTAATGAATCTAAGGCTTAAAATTGTGGATTTTTCATCTTTTCTGCATGTAAATATCCTTTTGTAGCAGTGTGCTGTGTTGGGTTGCACTGTGAAGAGCAGCCGCATCGCCAAAGGTGGTGGAAAGAATCACTGGAAAACAGCCACCCTTATGTGGGTGTGATGAGGTTGCAGCTTTAACATGAAGCCAGCATTACTAGTTCCCCTTCAAATCTCCAAAAAATTATGCCACTCTTTGGCATTTTGGCAACAAATCATACCCGAGGTCGTAAAGTTGATTCTAGCATCGTCCTCCAGCAATAGCCACCCACCATTAAGGGTGTGCAAAATAATCGTCATGACGATGCATCGTGATTCTAATTTT